TATATGAGGAGTGAGTTTAGTGAGTCTAGCCAGGCCTAGTGCTAGTAGCTTCAAGGCATCTGTATTTGCGACAGTTACTAGCCCCGTCTCCGCAGGGTTGCGCACCGCCGACGCCATGAACTTGTCTCTGAAGACGTTGCCTCCGTAGAAAGATCTAGCTCGACGCTCCTACATAAAAAGTAAATACCACACCTTGGTAGAGACAGTTGGGTAAGCTCACACCTAGGCATTCATTAATGGCGGTAGAGAAACTCCCTGAGTCATCTCTTCTTCAAACATAGAGGACAAAGATCCAATCTTTGCCAACCCAAAAGCTCCCTTCTCTTTCCCTGACAAGCTTTTCTCAATCACCCTATAGATCACCCACTTGCTCTGTTCGAAAGCAACTAAACTTAGTGTTTTCACTGCAAACGGAAGAAGAAACAAATTGAGTTGTTTTAATTAATTATATCTTATCGTAGCTGTCTTCCAATCTATACTCGTACATTATCCACTTTGTCTTCTCTACTTTGGGAGCTCTGCCTCTGTAAAAGACTAGTGTCTTTTTCATTCCAACAAGGATATTCTCCCTTTGAATCTCCTTCTATATCCTTGCCTGTAGATTTCCAGTATCCAGTGTCAGTGGTTCTATGTGTTCGAAGGCTAGTCGAGTACTTTGGACCTCGTTCACAAAAGAAGTAACCTTCATGCCGCCAAGTTTTGAAGTAACATTGTTTACCGCCGCCAATTTTTGATCTTTTTGAATTGAAGCGATGAAGCGAAGGAATATTAATATGTAATTATGTATATGGTTGAAGAAGCAGAGAGGGAGGAAGAAGAAGAAGATTGCAAGTTCTTACTCGGTAAGTCCCACGGCTCGCACTTGTTGAGTTCGACTTGGGCGATAGCTTTTGCGTCGAAGCTGGAGTTGAGAAGTTTATTGGAGAGGTAGTGGGTGATAAGTTCTTCATCGGTGGGGTGTAAACGGAAGCATGGGGGAAGCTCCATTCTACAAGCTGGATGGAGCTTTATTGGTTGTATTTTGGTTATTTGTTAGCCTCATAAAGTGTTACAAATCTTCATATTTTCTAACTCAGATTCGTACAACCCCAAACTAAAATACAAACTTCTGCTAGACTTCAAAATAAAATAGTGATCCAACAAAAGACTAAATTGGTAACTTTACAATGCAAAAAGACTTGCAATATAATAATATGACTAAAATGAACTCACAATTCTTTTTAATCTTATATGAGAATTCTATGTGAGTTAAAAATAAAAAAATTAATAAAATGTTTTCAACATTTTTCAAATATTAAATCCTACAAATACAAAATAAATAGAATGGAGCTTCCCCCAGCCGATTCCATCCCATCGACGAAGAACTCATCACCCACTACCTCTCCAATAAAGTTCTCAACTCCAGCTTCGACGCAATAGCCATAACACGTATTAGATCAATTTGATAAATAGTGCAGTAAAAGTTAAATATTCATAATTTTAAAAAATATAGATCAATCATAAAGTAATATGAGATTTTGACGTTTTTCCTGTAGTGAATAATCAAATAGCTCCCGCTTTATTCTCCTTTTTTTTATGAGAAGAATGAAAAAAACAAGAAGTGAATAAAATTAATTGCGTTATAAATTATCTTTGAACACTAAACAAGTAAAAAGACAAATTATGATCATAATTACCATTCTTAAAATTAAGAAGAATAAAAAGCGGAATGCAAATTTATTTTTTTAGAAGAATGAAAATTACACCATAGTTTGTTAGTTGGTGGTGTAAGTTCCCAACTAATAGATCAAATCATTTTCTTAATTTTGTGAATGATAATTTTGGTCATAATTTGAATTTTTACTTGTTGCTGACCAAAGACAAATTATGGTGCAATTAATTTTATGCACTTATTATTGTTTTCACTCTTCTTAAAAAAAAACAACAAACTGAGAATAAATGAGGAGCTATTTGGCTATTATTTGATAATTGATCTATATTTCTAAAATTATGAATATTTAACTTTCACTTCACTATATGTTATGGCGGTTTGTCTCTCTTCTTTTTTTTTTCTTTTTTATGAATATATATAAATTTTAATTAAGCCATTTCTTTTTTCCCTTTCTTATTTTTTTAGTTTTTCATTTTTTATAAATAAAATGATAAAAAACTTGATTTATTTTTTATTTCATTTCATTTTTTATTTGTATATATGTTTAAAATAATTAGGTCAATTTTCATTTAATTTATGTGATTTAAGTTTTTAAGTTTTTATTCATAAAAAATGAAAAAAAAATAAATGAAATAAAAAATGAAATTGTTTATAAATATTTTTCATTTAAATAATTAGTTATATTATAATTAAGTGGGTGTAATATTGTAATATAAGTAATACAATATAGGAAAATTTCTTAAAATATAACAAATTTCTAATAGAATTTAATTAACCAATCACATACAGCCGTTAAATCCTAATAAGATTAACCACAACACCCTCAGGCCCCAACTACATATATTTGTCCGCAGGATGACCAGAATGTTCAAGCCCTCATTTTTCTATACGAACAAATTAATATTCCTTCGTTTCAATTCAGAAAGGTCAAAACTTGGCGAAGGATCCTAATAATTCTGATTTTAATCTCTCATTCAAGGAGATTAATGCGGAATTAGCTAATTTTACTTCTATGCAAGCTTCTTGGATTATTCAGAGAGCAAATGTTAATTGGATTAGAAATGGGGAGGAATATCTAAAGTTCTTATATGCTAAAATTAGAACTAGAATGGGCAATTCCAAATCTGTGGTCAATTTGCTTGCTAGCAATCCTGCTCCTTCTAGATATGATGTGGTCTCTTCCATTATCCAATATGCTTCATATATATGTAATGCTTCCAACATGATGCTTCCATTATCCAATATCCAATATTTTCAAGGTCTTCCTCCATTATCCAATAAGTTGCCCCAAATTGACATCAACTTCGAAGATGATAAAATCAATGACGAAATCCCTTTCAACTAGATGCCCAAGTTAAATAAGCAAGATACTAAAATTATATCTTTATTAGGAGCTCCAAACCCAATAAGGAAAAGGGTAATGAGAAAACGTTGGGAATCCCTCTTTCCAACTAAACCCCCTACATAGGGAGTTGAATGGATAAGGAGGGTAGATAGGTCAAAGAGCCTGAGATTCTATGACCAAAGAAATATATATGCAAGTATAAATAAATGTACTTTATTCTTGGACATATGCAAGTACGAATTGAATATATATATATAGCCACAATGAATAGTGTGGTTCAGTGAACCATTATATTTAACATTGGATGGTATTGCAGGAGAAGACTATACAACCACATCAGGCAACTAGACTTTGATCATTACTTGGGCTTTGTTCGAATCATATTTTGAATTAGAAGTAGTATGCAAATGTTTAACTTTTTAACTACACAATGAAGGCAATTCTTAAAAGAGCAGACGTGAGATAACTTGCATCATATGACTTGCTTTTAAAAGACTATAATTGGACAATTGCACTCATGGATTTTCTTTAAACTTATATGACATGGATTTGAGGGTATTTTGGAATGTGTAAAGATTATTCAGCTCATGCATGATCACTCTAAAAGTGAAAGCGTGATTTTTTATGTTTGCAAGCTAAATTCGA